TCAGATCCAATATCAAACACTGAGGTCCTGTGCTAACAGATGCTTAGTAAGCCCTGGAAATCAATTTTCACTGCAAACCCAGTGGCTTTTTTTTTGTTTTAAATTTTTTTTTTTTTTTTTTTTTTTTTTTTTTTTTGGTAACAAAGCGTGGTTCTTCAGATCTTTCTGCGCCTAAACCCTTGTGAGGGGCTACGAATCTCAGTTAGCAGTTAGTGTTGCAATGCACTATTTAATAGCAGCCTACAAAAGCTGTTCATTTTCTCAGAACAGGTTTTTAAAAAGCGAAAAATAAATGAATTCCAACAGGTGAACACAATCTTGCAACCCATTTTTTTGTGGTGCTAGATTGAACCCAGATAGCACTGGGCTACACCCCTAGATCTTTTATCTTGAGACAGAATCGCCCTAAGTCCACCATCCTTGCCTGGAACTTGCCAGCCTCCTGCCTCCGCCTCCTAAATTACAGCCTGAACCATGGTGCCAGGGAATACCCAGTTTTAATACACGGGGGCAATCATTCTGATATTGAAATGCATTTTTTTTTTTTTTTTTTTGGCGGAACTAGGGATTGAACTCAGGCCCTTGCACTTGCCAAGGAAGTGCTTATTCCACTCAGCCATCTCCCCGGCCCCTTGAAATGTATCTTTTAAAAAATTTGTAAAATTCAACATGCACAGACAAAACAAAACGAACAAAAAAAAAGATGCTGTATCCCAACAGGTGAATTACCACATAAAGTTAAGGGGAACCAAGCGACGGCTACGGCTGGCGCTCTGCACGGCCCTATGTTAACATCCCATGTCAGTTTTTCATTAACAGAGCTATAAGGTACTTACAGAATCAGAAACTGATTTCAACATTTTGGTTGTTTGGGAGTAAACTGTCAAATCAACAACAACAAGAAAAAAACAAACAAACAACAAAACAAACCTGACGTTTTAAGCAACCCTTTAAATCCCAAAGATTTCACCCACTCTTAGGAGTTTCACTCCCTGGGCGCAGGGGGCCCCGGCCGCCCGCCCGGCCCTGCTCACCGACCACCGCGCCCACCAGGTCGCTCTTCACCGCGAAGCAGAGCGGCGGTTCCCCGCGGCCACCGGCCACGGTCTCCGGCGCGCCGGCGGGCTCCCTCCAGCCGCCCCTACTGCCGCCCCGACTCCCTCTCCGACCTCGTCCAGTCGGGCTATCCGCCGGCCTCCTCTCCTGGGCGGGGCACCTAGAGGGGCTTTGTCGAGAAGCCGCGACCCCAGGGGAAGCGTTGGCGCCCGCTTCCCGCCTAGACATGGTTCCGGGAGAATGGGCCCGCGCCACCCGACGGGAGAAGTAGAGGCGTCGCCGCGCGGCCCCCCGCTTAAGTAGCCTGACAAGCCCCGCCCCCACGCTTGCCGCGCAGTCATTGGTTGGCGAGCCTTGTGGGCGGGACCTTCCCGGCTGGGCCAATCGGCTCTCTCAATCGTCGGAGGTTCCTCCACGCGTTAGTCACAAGGTTGCTTTTTCACACCTGGTGGTTTTTTTTTTTTTTTTTTTTAATCCGGGACTTCTCTGAAGCTGTGCCCCCCACCTCCTGATTTATAATCCAGCATCATAAATAATCTGCATTGCAGCACCCTGGAACCATTGCACCCAGGTGGGCTCTACCACTGAGCTACATCCCCCATGTGTGGGTTGGTGTGTGCTACCTTTTTGAAGCATGGTTTTGTAAAACTGCCTCAGCCGGCCTTGAATTTGCGGTTCTCCTTTAGCAAAGGAAACAAAACTCCCCACACTTGGTCTGTCCTTAGTTAAATGGATTAAATTACATTGAGTTATTCTTAACTTTTTTTGTATTGGGGATTGAAACCAGGGAGTGCTGAAATACCGTCTCCTTCAGCCTTTTAAAATACTATGATGATGATGATGTTGTTGATACAGGGTCTTTTTTTTTTTAAATTTCATACATATACTACCTATTCAATTTATTAAAAATTGTAGTAAACATAATAAACTAGTGCTCCAAATTATGTTGTTCACGTGGAAGACACTACAAGAAAAGACACAAGAGACTGCCTTGCAATAGAGTACAAATTCCTTCTACATAGATGGAAAAATAAAAGGACAAATCTAGATGTCTAAAAGACAATTCACTGTACACATTTTATTTACAGTTTTGTACACTGTCTTAATATGAATGGGACCGCTTTTCTACTTGAGCCTTTTTTAACCAAAGCAAAATAAGCTAAGTAATACAAAGTATTAAAACACAGCATAAAGATACAAAAACAGACATTCTACTTCTAGTTAGGAATGTAATTATGATGTTACGTTTTTCATAATCCACAATTGTGTTTAGGCAATCATACAAACATAGATCACTGATTTGAATGAAATGCATAAATTTGTAGCAAAGCTTTGTAGTTATAAAAAAATTACCAAATAACACACAAAATTAATGTTT